ATAATACTATAGAAAATGCCGTAGATTCCAAATTATAAACCGAAATACTCTAATGAGCTAAATAAAAAAACCAGTTATTGGGACAGAAAGCCCATAAACGGACCCATAGTATCAGACATATACCAACTCTTTTTTACCCTTCTATAACACTACCATATTAGCTGAACGCAACAGTTCCAGGTAGGGGTTGCACATTTGTCGGATTTCAATCCGATCCGGATCGGTTTTTATTCGATCCGGTTTTTTCCCATAGAAAAAACCGGTTTATAAAATAACCGGTTCGGTTTCTAACCGGTTTGGAGGGCCGGATATCCTAACCGGTGTAACCGGTTTCGGTTTCGGTTTTAAAAAAATCGGTTTTTTAAAAAAAAAAAACGGTTATAAAAAAACCGATTTTAATATTCCAGATTGCTCATAGGGAACCGATTCCCCCCCCAAGGGGGTACCGATTCCTCACTGAATGGTTTGGCTCCGAGATTTCCAGAATGCTCGGAGGGAACCGATTCCCCATAGGGGGTACCGATTCCCCCTATTCAACGTCGAAATATTTGAATTTTACTTAGGGAACCGATTCCCTATGAGAGGAAACCGATTCCCTATGAGAGGGTACCGATTCCCCCACGCTCCAAGCATTTTTATTAACTGTTTTCACACTTAAACGGCTATATTATCTTCATTAATTATCACTAACGTTCAGAAGTGATTTAAGGGTATTTAAGCAAGCTTAGAAGCCATTGATCAAAGACAAGAACATCAAGCAACTATAATCAAGAGAGAATCAAAGAGAAAGCATCAAACCTCAAGTTCGTTAATTCAAATACTTAATTGAAATACTTAATTACTCAACATAATGAAATACTTAAATACTTCCAAGTTTGATAAATTCAAATACTTAAACTTCCAAGTTCGATAAATTCAATACTTAAAAACTTCAAGTTCGATAATTGAAACAAAGTTTACGATAATTGAATAAAGTTATAAAATAAACTACATTGCCATCTCTTCTTCATCATCTTCGCCTTCTTCGTTTGGAGGGGATATTCCAAGTTCGACTTCTTCAATGTGTAAGTTTGCTTCCAAATCGGCATCAATTGCATCTTCTAGGGTGGGTGATATGTTGCTTACGAGCCGCTCCATCCAAATAATCCTTTAAACAAATGCATATTTCCACCGACTCGGGACTTAGTCTTGATCTCCTTGCGATATAACCCTGCCACTAACAGAAAAAGCGGATTCCGAAGACTGTAGAAGCTTGGACGGTTAGTAAATCACGGGCCATGGCGGCTAGAATCGGAAATTGTGCTTCCTTTTCTTTCCACCAAGCCAAAATATCCAAACTTTCAAACTCTTCAAATGTCATTTTTGATAGAAAATCGCATGACATGTAATTTCCCAACTCGCTACTTGGGGTGGTAGTACGTGATCGTTTGGATTGGGAATTTACAAGAGTGTTAAAAAGATTCAAATTTATGTTACTTGGACGTCTACTAGATGATTCCGCATTCATTCTCATTTGATGTGTATTACACTACTTGATCCCGTATTTAGTTAAATAAATTGCAAACATGTCTCGAAAACATTTGTTAAAATAATTTATTGGTTTGGACAAAGTTGGGTTCATCATCGTTAGATTAAAAGCAAACGCAATTTGTTCAATTAGTGTTTCAACCCCACCAACATTTAACGTTGGGTTAAAGCGACGGCACAAGTAAAAATGGGGGGGAATCTCCTTAAAATATTTTAAAAGTTTTTCCTTCATTGCAAAGCCAATTTCTTGAAAACTTCGGTTTCAAATTCAAAGTCATTTAGTCGGGTAGCCAACAAAAATATTTGATTAAGAAACCAACGGGCTAGTAGGGTAATAACACCGGATAAAAAAGTTGTTGCTTTTTAAAAACCTCAAGCAAATCGGTTATTTTGGCTATAGTTTCCCAACTCGAATCCGGATAAATGTTTGGGACATGACCCCTCTCGAAAAAGTCGATCGTGAATGTTTGCAATGTTTCCCTTTGCCTTAAGGCAGTATGCATCATCATCCAGTTGAGTTCCAACGAGTTGGACATCCAAATTAGGACCCAAAGCTTTTTATTAACGGACTTACAAAATCGTTATAATCATTAGCTTTTGTTACAAAGAAACCGATTTTATCATGTTTTAAATTCTAATCTAATCGGCTCAATAACCTCCAAACCGGCTTGCACGGATAAATTAATTATTGTAACGCAACGGGTATGAAAAAACGCACGTCTAAAATCGGTGAAAGTAATATTTTCAATCTTGGAACCGCGTTTATATTCGATGCATATCAAAGGATATAGAAAAAACTTTATTTCTAATTATAAAGACAAATTACCCTTTTTAAAAGTGTAAATAAATTAGCACCGGTATGCGGCTCACCGAATAATTCAAACGCGATTGTTCTTTTCATCATTTGCCAATTATCTTGATCTAACCAATGTGACGCAACGGCTAAAAAATTTCCGGTATGAGGAGGGGAACTCCAAACGTCACATGTAGCGACACACCATAACGGTGTTCTTGGAATCCTAAAATCATTTTTCCCTCGCCGTACGCCACATTTTTATAGCATCTCTTCTAAGGGTAGTACGACTTACTTGAGTATAACGTGGTTGCATTAGTTGTTGAATTGTTGTCGTGAAATCTTCATCATCAAAATGGTCGAACGGCAATTCTTTTGTAATCACGAACTTTGTAAACGCTTCTCGTAATTTTTCGTTGTCGTAAACAAAAACACCACCTTGCGGTGTAAGATTCGATTAACTAGGATCCGATCTTGAGCGAAGTGCCTTGCTGATTTTGTCAAATGGTTCTTCAACGTTGTGTTTCCTTCCGATGCAAGAAACTTTAGACAAAGTTTACAACGCTCCCTCCTCGAGCCATTTGACATCTCACATAAATCGTAGTGATCCCAAATGTCTTTGTTTCGAGTGTGTTCGATCACTCTCACGACTTCAAGGTTTCCCCCGACGGAAGATTCAACCGTGTTACTCATGGAACAAAAATTACAAAAATAAGATTGAGAGATGTTTAAGTGTTGTGTAATAAGATTTGAGAAATTTGTAAAACCAAATACATCCCAAACCTATTTATACATTTAGGGTGGTAAATGGTAATTTTTTAAAGAAATTGTGTAATAAGATTTGAGAAATTTGTAATCAACCAAATACATCCCCAACCTATTATACATGTTTAGGGTGGTAAAATGGTAATTTTTTAAAGAAAAAAACGGTCAAAAACGGTCACAAACCCCCCCCCCCAACGGCTATATTAACGGCTAGTTTTTTAAACCCAGACCGGTTTTTTTCCGGATAAAAACCGGTTTTTTAACTGGTTTTTTTCAAACCGGTTTTTTATCCGGTAAAAAAACCGGTTTAAAAAAATCCGATCCGGTTAAAAAAAACCCGGTTTTTCCCAAATCCGGTTTCGAATATTTTTTTCGCAAAATCAGATATTCGGATTTTTTGTGCACCATTAGTTCCAGGCTACCGATGAATTTTTTTTTAATTTCACCCTTTTTACTTAAATTTAACCTTTAAATTTTAAAAAAAACTGTTTTATAGATATACATAAAAAGAGTTAAATTATTTCTTTTATAAAAATACTAAAACATCAAGTCTTAATGATATTGATATAACACTCTGCATCAACGCATATTTCATACTGATATTAACAATTTATCTTATATGTCACGTTAATAAATAGTTTAAGTTATTAATTTTTTTTTTCAAATTTGAAGTGATAAAAAAGTGATATATACTTGGAACTTTTATTAATCATTAACATGTATAATACAGACGTAATTACTCAAATTCAAGACCGTTCAACTTATTAAATATTCGAAATTGAAAAGATTAAGGAATACTATATCATAAAATACGCATGAGCAGATATTTCTATTAGAAAATAATAGGTTAAATTCGAAAAAATATTTACTTAAAGGTCATTTTAAGTTAGAAAAGAAAAAAATTGAATTGATAAAAAGAATTATAAATATTAAAAGTTAAATTTATTCTAATATAATAATAAAAAATTAACTGGGTTGAAGAGTAAAGTAATTCTACTGGCAGTCCAATTGATGTGTAGTCCTAATTCACACCCTTATGTGCTAGGAAACCTTGTAAATTCCATTGGAAGCCATTAATTGATATACACAACAAAATAAAACAAATTCCTTCTCCAAAACCATACTGTCCTGTCCAATTGAACGCTCAAGATAAAGACCAAAAAGGTGCACCCATCACACCACATATTTAAATATGTTCTAATTTTAAAATTTTAATATATCCATATTAAACGTTATACATAAAAAAACAATCACTTGTAAAGTTCAGCCTTAAATTTAAGTTAAAAATGGAAATTTTGTGTTGTAAATTGCATATCCTATGTTTAATTTCATCAATTGGATTAATTACTTAACACCCCTTCCCCACCCGATTTTTCCTTTTGTAATGGTGGGTCAATTAGATGCTCCAAAAGTGTCGTCTCTCATCTCTCCCACTAGATTCTCCCTTGGTTCCATAGTTAAACTACCTTTTATTCCCGTTGACCATTAGTTGGATGCAAAGGAGAGGGAGTTTGGCAAATACAAAAAGGGGAAGATGCTGGTAAAGAAGGCTTGGGATGGAAGCCCTTTCAATGGAACCTTTTTTCTGCCATTGCTTGGATTAGAATCAAAGTCAGAAAATCCTACAGAGACCCTCCGGAGAGAGAAAGAGAGCTAACTTTCACGTCAACCTATCTAACATAAATTTTTCAAATGCCCATTTTTATTGCTAGAAGGACTAGACTCCACAACTTACCAAACTCTGAAAGAACTCTCCCAACTAAACGAGAAGGGAACAAAAACATTCACATTCTCTTTTTTTCTCAAGAAAAGAATCATTCATATTCCTACTTATCCGTAAAAGGGTAATTAGCAAACTGCAAATGTTAAGAAAGTTATGTCTTTATTCTGGTTCAAAGAGAGTTGAAGGGTAGTACCTTGTTGAATCAAATACCAAACATGGCAAAGAGATCAGATTTCGCCCAGAAGCTGTTAGATGATCTTCGGTTGAGGAAGGAGCGGATGGCTGCCCCTAAGAACTCAAAGGGTTCAAATCCAATGGTTGCAGGTGAGCGTTTCCTGAAATCTCTGCTAAAAGCAAACTTGGTTGGGCATGACTTAAAAAGACATCAGTTAAAACCCTGTGGTGAATAAGAATTTTTTATGGATCATGGCTATTATTGACCGTCTTCTAGAAGTTAGAAAACAGGAGGCATGACTTACTGCTGCACTTTGTGAACCTTATTAATGCAAACTGAAAAACACACACAAATATACAATTATGCACATGGATTCAATTGTTGAAATGGTTCGGTTTAGCACCGATTACTATTCTTTCTCTTGTTTCTTTCGGGAGATACGTTTTCCCATCCCCTGCTACCATCCAAGTCTCAAAGCAGCTGTTGATTCTCTTCTCTTACCTGACAAAACCAACCACACAATTATGCAACAATTCTTTGCTTTGGTGACGACGATCAAAGAAGCTAAGAGAGTGTAGAATCCTTTCATCTTTTCTTTATAAGGCAGCCTGCCTTTGTCTTGCGTATGTTGTGCAACATAATTGCTCCACCCTTCTAGGCTGCTGCCTCTTACAGACTAATTGTCTCCAAATAATATGAACCATTTCACCTAAAGTAAAACTTAAAAATAAGAGATCTTCAGCTGCATAGTATGAAATAGAGGAAAGAATCTCTGAATGAGTTTAAAATAATGCAATGATATATGAAAATGCTTACTCAGGAGAAGTTATAAGTTTGGTGGTGCTAAGTAATTGAATCCCGTGCAAGGCTAGACTCATGAAAATAGAGCTTTAGCAAGTTGGCTAGTGACACCTCATCAGCAAGAAACTTTAATGTATAATTTCAGTCCATTTCTTTTGTTGCGTGTTTGAACAGATACATATGTTTACTCCAAGGAAACCTATAAATCATCCAGGGACCCAAAGGCAGTCAAAACTGTAAGTTTGCCCGTCTAAAGTATAGTCTTTCCATACAACAAGATTAATTAGATAGCACAATTTCATTTAGTTCAATGTTTGTCTTCCTTCAGACTGGTTTTAGAGCTGGAAGCACACAAAACAGACCTAGTGGAGGCAGGAAATCAGTCAGCACTGGGCAGGCATCGAATCAGATTGTTCCTTTTGGGGGAGGCAAGAAGCCAGAACGAATGGGAGATCTGTCGAAGGCCCTAGCTTTCGCGCTTGAAATGGAGGAAAGATAAGAACAGAGTCTTCGGGAACTAGTTCGATTTTCAGTTTTCTACAAAACATTGGTAGGAGACAGATGGACTACAGGAACGTGGAAGGAAGAAACAGAGCAGTAAGCATCAACCTTCAAGTAGCCAACTCCCTACTCTCTCATATCCATATTGAAGAAATATCAAGGGGTGCACAAAAGTTTAATCAGATCCTCCGGGACTGCTCTAATGGCCTCAACTTTGACAGATATTCGATAGAAATTGGAAGGGAACTGTTGAAAGCAATGGATTTGGAAGAGTCTCTAAGGTTGCTTGTAACATGCAGGAAGCTTCGGATTACTTGATAACGCCGCAGAAAAAAGTCGGTTAACATTGCTAGGGAGGATGAAGATGATGATAAGAACACCGTCACAGTAGCCGATCAGAAGCAGTTGGGTAGGCCAATATTTTCTTTTGATAGACCCTCGAGAAATTATAATGACATTCAAGAAGTTGCAAGAACAGAACTTAAGCTGAGGTTGGCAGCTCTTACTACTCTTCAGAGGTTACTAATTCCAAGCATGATAAGAAAGTTGCAACTTCCCCCAACTTACATTCTCACAAGCGATCAGTTAGCTATGGTGCAAACACTAAAACTCTCACTGCATTCTCAGAACAACTCACTCCATTGCAGTCTAAACAAGAGAAGTCCAGAATTCCAAATGTAATCGCCAAAGCTGATGGGGATTAATGAACTTCCGGGAAATGTAGATTCAAAGGTCACCAAAAGAAAGGAGTCTGGAAATAAAAAATTAGAAGGGGTAATTGCAAAGAGACCTGCACAGGAAAGCATCAAGAAAGCTGAACAAAGGACAAAAAACTCCACAACCCCAGTTCTCCCACCAGCAAAACAGAAGGAAACAATCGCCAGCAAGATTCCTCTGGCTCAGGTTACGGTTCATCACAAGCAGGAAAAACATTGACAACTAGAAATGGTAGCACAAGGGTTGCTGTTCGTGACAAATTACCACCTCGAAAGGGCTGGAAGACTTAGATTCTGTGACAAGTTCGAGAAAAATCATGATTAAGATAGACAACAACAAAGTGACGTTGCCCAGCCGAATCATAGCTCTGAAAGTAGAAAAGAAATTCAGGAGGAGAGAAACCATGATGGTATAAAGCACAGGGAGCAGAAGTACAATGGAAGAAGTGTAATCAAGGAACCAGTTTCAATGATGAGATGCGGCAGATGATTCCTCTTGTACATAAAAGATCAGAAGCTGCATTTACATTGCCCGAAAAGCCAGAGTACAGCGAAAGCATGCTTCATGGGGAAAATAATTTTGCTAACAAGCTTCTCCTAAGCAGTCAACAAAGCTCCAATATAATCATGGATTTCAACACATGCTCCAAAATCAGAGCTCGACAATCAGAAGAAAGGGAGCAACAGAAACTGAATTGCAGGAGAAGAAACAAAAGAGACATGAATCAATATCATTAGTATCTCCAAACAAATATCTGGTGCAACCAATTTGCAAAAGAAGCAGCTGCAAATGAATCAAGCAGCAACACTAGGAAAGGCTCCACCGAACATGTTGATGCAACGCAATTCAATGAAAATCCAGCGGTGATAGAAGTTCAAGAATTTTAAATTTCAGAGCTAAAGATTCACTAAGCAAAACTCCAAATCTACATTCTTCTCGAGAGGATAAAGAATTGAATCAGCAAAAGCTCGCATGTTGTTTGCTGTGGATGAGAAACCTGTTCAAGTTCAAACAATGAATGTAAGAAGTGCAAAAGGACATAAACTCGGAGTCTCTGGAAAGATTAATGAAGTAATGACCACAAAAGGTGCAAAGTTTATAACATGCCGAGGACCATGAAGCATCAAAGTTCCAATTTGCAAGAGAGGAAACAGACAAGGCAGGAGAAGCTTGCTATCCCACAAGAAGAAGAGCAAATGAAAGCCAGCAGGTCCGAAGATGTAGAAACGCAGATCATTAGACCCAATGTGTCAGGAGCAACCTACAATCATCGCACGAAGCCCGACTGCAGAAAAGCACAACAAAATCCAACTTTGTGCTTTAACCTAGAAGATGGATGCCAAAGCCAAAGTGAACAAGCTTTAGCTACAAAAGACAGCGTAAGATTACACCATAACTATAATCATTAACCAACTATTAGACGAAGTCACTCTCATAATTCTGAGTGGAAACACAATAAATGTTTTGATCTTATGCAGTGTCAAATACAATGCCAATGGCTACAAAAGGACAGCAGGATCAAGACTTGATTTCGGCAGAGACGATGAACATGAGTTCAGGGATAGTGTACCTGATCCACAAAACAGTAGTACAATTTTGCAGTTCCAATGTCTAAAATCTCAAATTTTCCATGAAAGGTTTCTTATTTGCTGAAGGGTCTAGAAAAATGAGCCCACACCAACTAAAATTTAAAATAGGTGTTTATGCACACACATCGAGACAAACACAATAAAACATGCAGGAGTTTCCCACTTTATTATATAGAAACTGAACCATAAAAAGTCCACTACGTGCATAAATACCATCATCTTAAGGAAACCCCACTTTCTCCTAATCATTCTATCAATTAAGGCATGGTAGTGGCAGTATCAAAAACTTTATTTTTTATTGTTTTTGAGGAGTGGTTTTAGGGAAAACGGAACTTATCTGCTTAAGTTCATTGTTTTCTAGGAACTCGTGAAGAGAGCACGGAAACCTTTGTATCCCACGCCAGAGAATCAAAGGACTTTTACCAGAGATGCCAGAGCCATTAACAGAAGTGAAAATCCCTCAAACAGATACTTATGAAAAGCCAACTATTTATGAACACAGCAGAGGCACTTTTCAAACTCAACATCCCTATAAGCATTCTTCATGCAAACAGTCACAACTATCACAACCAAGACAGCAAGCTAGTTTTAGACTGTGGCTACGAAGTAATGAAAAGGAAAGGAAGAAGGCAGGAAGTAGTGTTCACCCATTTCTAAGGTATCCAACACTTCATACAAAGCAAAATCCTTGGATGAGTTGATCAAGCAAACGTGCAAGAACTTTGAAAAGGTTGAAGTTATACGGAAGGGACAGGAGAGAAGACTCTCCTTTCGAAGACTACCTACCAAAAATGCTTGAGGCCGATGTCTACAACAAGGAACCACCTGAATTGTATGTGGGACTTGGGTTGGAACAACACCATGGTTGGGTTTCTTGAGAAAGATGTGCCAGAGATCTTTCACAAGTGTGTGTTACAGTTTAATTGTAAATTTTAAAAATAGAAAATACCCAAAAACTATTTAAGCGTGATTTGTTTAAGGTTTCTGTCTGTATCACAGAAAATTTTTCCACATTTTTTCTTTCCCTGTAAATTACCTAAAACTGTGATTCTTATTGCATATTCCAATGTTTTGCATATAAATAATGATTGATTCACCCCACTCTCTCCCTCCTTCCCTTGAAACGGCTGTTTATCTACTTTCATATACATTTTAAGGCGACTTTTATCACAAATCTAAATGTATTATTAATAACCTAAGAAACGTTTAGATCATAGGGGGAAAAACAGATAGAAAAAGGATTGAAGTATCGTAATAGAAAACAGTGAAGCTTACCTGATGTTGCTCTAGAAGAAAATAGAAGATCGATTACGCACCCAAAATCTGCTCCACCAGTGGATCCAAATCCACCAGCTCCTCTAGTATTAGAATCCAAATCCTCAACGTCCAAACACCAGGAGTAATTTGTTATGAACCGAGGAGAATAGAGAAAGAAAAAAAAAGGAAGGAAGGTTTTAGAAAAAGAAAAGCAAAAGGATTACAGAAAACATATTTCATTCATTCATTCATCAGCTGTATAACTAACTTTAATAGATTCCCTGCAGATAAGAACTAAATATTTTCTTTTTTGGGCTGTTGGTTGCATCCACTGCTGAGCCCATCTTCTGCACCATTCAGCATCTGCCCTCCCTTACTTGTGTCCAGCTCTAGGTAATTTCCTCCAGTCTTAATATTAGGAATTGAAATCCCTAATTCCCTGATCTTTTTTCTCAATCCCTAATTCATCTTTCATTCTCCAATTCTCTCGCTTCAATTATAATATCCCCGTCTTGTTCTTCTCTTTCATTCGTGACAATACCCCTCCATAAAATGATCCTTATCCCCAATGATCAAAACCTAATAATTGTACCTTAAGCACAATATAATTTACCCCAATGACATTTTCTAACCTTAAGTTCATCCACTGTAGTTGATTGTACTCTTCTCCCTATGTTTGTTAAACTTCATAAACATATTGGACCTTCAACTGTCTTTATGTCCAAACTTGAAAGGCTCCAATGGTAATGTGTTGATCTTCAGATTTCTTTTTCAACCAACTATCATAATTCACTGTTTGCACCTTCGAGGACTCATATAACAAGTTATATGCTATTAACCCCATGCAATGTAAAATGATGCAAGTACCATGGACCCTTGCTGCTAGCCTTAATCCTTTTCGAAGAGCAAGTGAGGTTCGATGGTAAGACCGAAACTTTGGTAAATTCTGTCCTGTCTGTCAATTTTATTTTAGCAAAAATTTCAGCTTTGCTTGAGTCTTCTGAAAAAATTTCAGATTCAAAAGTTGTTGTTAAGTAATTGATTCCTGCTACTTTCTTTGTTGACTTCTATAGTTATGACATTCCCCCCTTGAAATGATCTTTGTCCCAAGGATCAAACCCTCTAATATCTCATTACTGATTTTCGCTTGCAATAACTGATGTCTCCGCTTGAACTGTGCCAACTCCCGAAGAGCCTCCACCTTTTTATTTGTAACTTGAAGCAAATTTCTATGAAGTTCACCTATCTTTTCTGAAGAGCTGCATTAACATTTTTCTCAAGTAAATGCCTTTCTTCCTGCTGCGATAAAAGCAACAGTGCTGCCACTTTTCTTGCAATGCTGTGCAAAGGCATCTGAGGCATCACCTTTAGTCTCAACAGTATTTAAATCCAGCATACCCCTCTTTTCTTGCAATGCCTTTGCAAGGGCTTCTGAGGCATTAAGCTTAGTCTCAGCAGTATTTGAATAGAGCAAATCCCTCTTTTACCTCATCTTCATCACCAATTCTAAATCTTCCTTGCTATTATCAACAAATTTATTTTCTTTGAAGGTCCGCAGATTTTTGATGGCAACCTCGTCGATAGGCTCAATTAAATAGAGAACTCTTCACTTTTGATGTGTAAAACCAAAGTAAGGGAGTTATACGTTTGTGATTACCAGTGTCTTCGATGCAGCCCAACTTTAGAAACCTGTCGAAGTTCTCCCAGAATTTTTGTAATCCTCTTTATTTTCACTTTCAGAAATCTCTTGAATCATGTCAAATGTTTTCCTGACAAGCCTCTTTCCATAATTCTCACAATTCGACTTTCTGAAGGATCTCTCGATAAACATTAAGGAAAGATCATTTGATTCCACAACACCCTTCACAAAGCTCAAGTATCGTGGAAACAGCTCCCGTCAAAATCATCCGAGATAAATACACGCTTCACATACAAAGTATATTCTTTGTTTTGGAATTCGTGACATCCTCATTGTTGAGAGGGCCCATGCTAGGAATGTACAGCACACTTCTAAACTTGACCTCACCCTTTGTATATGGGAAGTCAACCGAATTCATCAAAGCATATTTCTACGTCAAAAGACCATTCCTCCAGCTTGTATCATAATAAGTGACGGTTTTATTACTCAATTCTTCTTGAACCTTCATTTGATTTTGAAGTTGTTGTGAAAATTCCAACCTATACCAATTTTTTTTCTGTCCATGTAGAGGTTTAGCCCCTCGACATTGAACTCACATTTGATGAATTTATCAACACCACCTGTGAAAACTTGTCTGAACAATTTGTCATTACTGTCATGATCTGTCCAATGCTGAAACGTTAGCTTCGATATTTTTTCAAACAGTTTATACCCTCTATTATGAAGTATCCTAATATCATTGGCTGTAAACTCATTGATAGAGTCACCATGTGCTGATTTAGATTTTAGGATTTCGGGTTCATTGTGCTTAAAAATTGGGATTCATTCATCCCTGTCACTAACATAGGCTTCTTCCCATCAGTCTTAGGAAGGTTAGGAATATTTACCTGTTCATTTTCTGAAATGGTTTGTTCTTGTTCCTCTGTCCTCCCAGTCAAAATCCTCAAAATTTGCCCCACACAACCTTGATTCGTTGTCATCCTTGACTCCAGTTTACTGATCCAATATCCTGTTCTTCCACCATTTAGGAGGTTTGTGCCATCCGTTGCTTGTTTCACCAGAGTTGTAAGTTCTGTAATCTGTTGTTGGATTGAAGAAAGATTAGGAGTTTCGACCATGGTTTGATATTTTTCTGGTATAGCAATGAACAAGTTGCCAGGAAGAGTGGCTCTGAATACTAATTTGTTATGAACCAAGGAGAATAGAGAAGGAAAAATCGAAGGAATGAAGGTTTAGAAAGAAAAGCAGATGATTACAGAAAACAAATTTCATTCATTCATGGTGCTCTCTTTCTTCCCAGTACACGATTTTATTTGCATTACAATGTACTAAGGCAATTGTGAAGGTGACAACTATATACTAACTTCTAACAGATTCCCTACAGATAAAACTAAATATTTTCCTCCTTTGGGCTATTGGTTGCATCCTCTGCTGAGTCCATCTCTTCTGCCCCATTCAGCATCTGCCCTCCCTTACTTGTGTCCAGCTCCATGTAATTTCCTCCAGTCTTAGCATTAGGAATTGAAATCCCTAATTCCCTGATCATTTTTTCTCAATCCCTAATTCCTCTTTCATTTCCCCCAATATCTCGCTTCAATTCTAATCTCCCGTCTTGTTCTTCTCTTTCATTCGTGACATAATTATACTCTCAATAATTAGCAGCGCAATTCTATCACACACTTTCACTTCAAAATCAATGCTGAGTGGTTGACCAATATTAACCCTGGAGGTCCCAGTAATCAACGTCAATGGAAAGCTTCCAAGACAAGCCACACCTCGGTACTACAAAAAGAAACAAAAATTAGAACCCAATATTTCATAGAAGTAGAATGATCAAATCATACCAAATCGAAATACAGGAATAAAATTCAATTTCGAGCATAATAGAAAATTTATACCTCGAGTGTAGGTTCCTTCGGGAATTGAAACGCTTAGATCAATAGCAACCATTGGTTTTCCTCTAGCTGGCACTTTGGTATCGATTGCACTGTGCCGAAAACAAAAAGACCATAAGAATTCATCTCAATCCTATGAGATTCATGATGGGTAAGATTTTAAAACGACCCATCAAATGTATTGAGAACCCAAGGTTACTTGACAGATCGTATCCAGCAGCGAGAGGAGATCCCCTTGAGGACAACATGGCTTTTCAGAGAGCTTTTTCACTCTCAAAAGTGAGACTGGAAACTGAGCCTCTTTGACTTGTTGGAACGACTCTCTGATTTCAGGGTTGTGGTCATTGCTAGAGATCTTGAGAACGAAATGAAAATAGATGGACTGTACTTCCAGCAATGCAAATGGTTTGAACATGAACATGGAGAACTAACGTTTTCTAAGGGGATTGATATTATTGAAGTTTGAAGAACTTTGTGATCATTGATATTTGCGCAAAACAAAGTTATTATAAAAATTTGGCTTAATATAAAAATAAATTTAAATAATTTTTCAAACGTCTATCTTTAAAAAAATCATTAAGTTATATCTATTATTTTAGATTTTTTTTTAAATAATATTTATTTTTAAAAAAATTAAGAGTAACACGTGTTACTTAACAGTAGATACCTAAAAATGTAATAGAAAAAACTTTAATTACTTATTTTTTATCAAAAAGTTATTTAGGCATTAAAACATTTTCTGAAATATTCTTTAAGCATTTATTTTTATATTAAGCTTAAAATTTAAAAACTTACACAAATATTAATAATGAATATTTTAACTTTAATGAGAAGAAAAGTTATACGAACACTAAAGTTACATAATATTTGAGAATTTTTATTAAATGATTAAAAATATTTAAAATTTTATTTTTTATATAGATTAATAAAAAATATACACGACCATCAGTGATTATAGTGATAAATTATTCTTGAATTAAGGTAGAATTGAGATTTGTAAATATGGCGCCTAGTTTCTCGCTATTTCCTTTGGGACAATTGCGCCACCATATAGACAGTGTATTTATAATGACGACTCGTTGATGTCGTAAAGTTGTACAATACAGCACACTTAATATATTAAAAAAATATTATAATAGATTAATAAAAATTCTAATCATATATCACTTTACAAATCCCTTAACTATTCATTTATCATTTTAACAATAAACATGAATAAATATAACAAATTATTTTTTTAATAAATAAAAAATAAGAAATTTTATTCACTTATTTGTTTGTTCATTCGTTTATTCGATTAAAATTAAACAAACAATATAATATACCCTCGTTTCTATTCGTTTGATTAGTTTACAAGTCGAGTCGATTTTCTAATGACACCTATAACGAACTTCTTACCTCAAGAAGGCTGTAGAGGATTCCTATCCATTCTGGATATTCTTGAATAATACAACATTCTTACATTCATACAAATATGAACAAAAAACAAACAGCGCATTAAGAAGCCTCAACTAAAGCATGCCGTAAAAACAAACCGCAAGCCGTCCTTTATTTGCCGCACATGAATCAACTTGGTAACAACAAACCAGCAAGACATGCCGGAAAACTACTCAACCGGCGATCTCTGTCTTTCCAGTGCCACACTGCAGTGGAGAAGCTGCGCCCATGTCATCCTTAAAAATCTTGACATGGCAAAGCTTCCCACCGGCCTCATCGGCAAATGTAATCTTCCTTTCTTTCTGGATTACACCTTCTGAAGCAGCAGTGTTATCCTCGGTCGATTTCTGCAATCCAACCATTAAACTAATCAGCAACACTCATAAGCTCTATCCCCAGCCGCTAATGATTCCTCTTAGCTTTGTTTTGCTTCGAATAGTATGGAAAACAAGGATGTAAAAATTAGAGTGACTAACCGATTAAACAAGTTAATAAAACGATTAATCAAATAAATTAAACGTAAAACTTAGACAACCGATAGGAGAAATTAAAAAAAAAAAACTAGAACCCGAACAGGTAAAATTGATTTTTTAACCCCCTACTAGTTTTTTATTTTTTAACCAAAAAAGTTGAGTTTTTTCATTATGTATTTTCAACTACAAGGAAAGGAGAAATATACCATGATTTTACAGAAACGGTTGCAATCTCTTGCCATCATAGAAAGCCATTTTCTTGCAGTTTCTTCAGCTTTCGTTGCACTTTCAACAGCTATCCTGATCTGTCAGAAGTGAAGTAAAGTTAGCTATGAAAACTTCAGGCATCTAACAAGATATGAATGACTTAATTTACAAGGTAATACATATATCAGTACTGAACTTTATGCATCTAACAAAGAGGGGTTGTACATCAACACACCTCGTCCGCATTTTCTTTTGCAGCTGTAGCTGCAGAGGCTTCCAACTCCGAATGCAATTTCCCCATCACAATACTTTCATGGACTTCAATTCTGTTGGTTTAGTTGCCAAAGATTCAATATCTCGCATTTGTCTCTGTGTAAATGATATGGCGCTTTGTGAACAAAGTTGGGCAGTGGTACATGCACTGCTAACGTGCGGTACGGAACCAGAAAGATGAGTACCCTTGAGAATGCCCTTAGGGGGAGATCCTTTCTTATCCTGTTTTGCTTTTCTCGTGAATGGTTTTGGCTTGATAGTGGCTCCGTCTCTCCCAAACTGGTCAAGCCGTTGAGCTATTAAAATCCTATGATTGGTCTGCCTTCCAAAATACAACTTCCCCCTACATTCTGATAGTATCACAAAACCAATCAATATCAAGCAGACATGGAATGCAAAAGGACAAACCAATCTAGAAAAAACATAGAGCTTCAATAAGATATACATTTGAATGCAAAACTTAGATTTACAAGTTTCTTGAGTTTTAAGATCCTTTTGCCATTTAGAGGAAATATTAGATGTTAGAGGATGAAATATACTGCATGATACATCAAGAAAATCTTTTTTCCCTTTTGTTCTTTAGGATAGCCACAATTACATTTTTTGCTCCAAACACTAGCAGTTAATTGAATAAACCATAAAAGAGAATAATAATATCAGTTACGATAGAACTTGTACTTTTTCTCCTAGCTCAGTTCTGACAAGAAAACTCATGGCTACCACTTGTCTGTTCCACAGATCATGACGGATTCAATACTTTGAAAACCACTTTAAAAGGCAGAGGATAGAAGTTAAAGATCCCAAATTCCAATCTAATAACAAACTTTTGTTAACTTACGTTGACGCTCATCTTCATCCAACCTGGTTAACTCCATAGCCCAACAAAGTCTTTCTTGAGATGTTGGAGAAATGGTCTGAAAGTCAAAGCATTTAGTTAGAAAAAACTTCAACAGAATACAAGAGTTACCTAAACATGTGTTTTGCACACCTTTCGACTTGAAGGAAGCCTTTCAGGATGCTGCTGCTGATGCTTTCTTTGATGATAATCTGGATGTCCTGGTGATGCCATAAGCTTATCCGAAGCATCGTCATCAGTGGCCACAGAGTCAGGCAACTGCAATTGCTTCCCTGCTGAAGTAGAATGGCTAGAAACAGGGACTGAATGTCCCCCAGAATTCAAGCATGGTGGACTCCAAGACAGCCTATCTCCAGGAGGACTGATGCCACTGTTTAAAGGCCAACCATGTGCACTACTGCTCTCATTGGACCATGCACTACCTTCATTGATATTTTCCAAGCATTGGAGGCTATCATCACTGACCAACTCAGGTGCTTCAGTTCTGTCATGACTGCTGGTCTGCCAAGACATCTCATGATCAGAAGAATTACTTTTAAAGCTATCAAGATCAGCAGAACAATCCTTGGATGGTGGTATTGACTCTGGGGTACTATCATAAGGTAGAGCATAGACAGCGCATCTTTCTTGTCCAAGTTCGTGCAAGCCTGAACATTGATAACTGATAATTTCTGGACTGTCTGCCTTTACAATCTCCCAACCAGAAGAACTGGTAGCAAATTTAGGAATAAGTGTTCAAGATATTCACAAGACACCCTATTTGAAACACTGCATAGAGGTTCTTCTACATGATACAATGTGCTACCTGTTTCTAAACCACAAGTAATAGCTGTCTCAGGAACTTGAATCAAACTATAATCGTTATAATCCTTTGTTGGAGACATTGATTCTAATGAGGCATCATAGGAAAGGGGGATAGGTTATATAATTATCTTTCTTAAATTCTGACAAGTCATAGTACTCATAACTTGCTATTTCTGGACTGTCTACCTTAACAATATCATTACTAGAAACCCTCACATCAGATTTGAGCTCCAAATTTCTGCTATATTCATAGGAAACTTCATTAAGTGAATCATATTGAGATTCTTTTGTAGGATCAGGCACCTCGACAACATCACTAGATACATGAACAGTAGAATCCACCGGCTTGCTGCAACTAAAATGAGAAACAAATGTAACACTGAAAAAGCTTTGGCATTCCGAGTAACCAGGGTCGGGAACCTCAACTTCAACAGGTGCAACCGAATCTTCATTCGGTAGCTGTAACTCTTCAACACAATGAATCTGCTTGGATTTAGTTAAGGAAATTGCATGTGGAGATAAAGAAGCAATGCTCTTGCTTGAAGAATTCCTTCTCTTTATATTCTTGGATAGTTTAGATTTCAAACAGATGAGAGGCACTTCAAAATCGCATTCTCCATCCTTGTGCAGAATGTTAGGCAACTCATGTTTCTCACTAGAACAAGTTTCCATGGTTTCTTCTTTTAAACCAACAAAGTTGGAGCATTTTCTTTTCCTTTTTTTGCATCTCTTCTTGATCTGTTTCAATGTCATATTGCCAAAGCCAAGATCATCCAGGTCATGCATTCTTTCAACACAATCACTTTTGCAATTTGAATCAAAATCTTCAGGTTCACTTTTGATTTTTATTCCACTCACTAAAGAAAAGTCCTGCCTCTCTACCTTGACCCCTAAACATTTGGTCGGTGAGTTGTCTAAATCATCCCTCAGATAAATTGCTGGAACTTGATTATGATATGCGATGTCTCTCAAAAATGTATATTTCCTTGATTTCCCTAAACTTGAGTGCTGGTCGCCCACGAAAACCCACATTCATGGACTTCTCCACAGAGCCACCTTTAATGGCATTGACAAAGTGCAAGTGGGTCCTGCTCCTTAACTCCATTAGCTAGTGTTGTTACTAGCCTAGATCATTCAGCAGTAGGTTTAAAGGCTTGCCAGCAAAATGCAGAAATTTCACTTCCTGATAAAATGGCACATAATTTGACAATGCATTAATTTCAAAATACCTAGATAAAAAAATTGCAAGTCTAGCTTTTCTAACTGAAATCTCCAATCCTACACAAATTAATAAATAAAAAGCAAGCAAAAAATGAAGTTCAAACATTAATAATTAACAGTGAATCAAATTAATGACAAGAAAACCGAAAAATAGCAACAACATTAAATTAACTCAAAGAGTAGAAACTGTGGGCCAAATGGCTTAGTTTTGGATAAACGAGCATAATAAAAGGTCTTCCTGTCAACCAGTTTTCGAATGCTAAGGTAGCCTAGCAATACAACATTAGAACTTTTGAGCAGAAAGAGTGTCACCAGTCACCACAGACAAAAGAAAACACAATATGTATAACCCAAACCCTAGCGTTAATTTTGAGAAAATACAATCCAAATAAAAAAAAACAAAACTGTGCAGTTGCAATCCGGCACTGTAATTTCATTGGTATGACCGCAAATTCAAGGGACTAAGCGATGCGCGAGGTAATAATACAAAAATGACGCGTTGCTCTTTTCAAATGCAATATCTGTAAAACGAAATGCTAAAGCAAGAACGAAAGATGGTAAACTACTTCACTGTCTTGGTTGGCTGGTATCCATTACCAATGATAACTCGGATTTATAGTTTTTAAAACAGAATAGTAAAGAATAAAACAAATCTAACAAAAATATGCATCTAAAAGTTCCAGATCTAACCAAGATTTAGAAATATAGATAATCAAACGCAACAAAAAAACCTAAAAAGCATCTGAGTTACCTGAGATTGAAGACTTTCGTCGGGGAAGATAACGAGGAGAGGAGTTCGAGGGAATGTAGCTTCGTAGCGATGCAGCGGAGAACCAGTGTTAAGGGAATAGAGATGGCTGGTAAAACTAAAAATAATTTGGGATTATATGATCTCCGCCAAATTGTTAGTAGCGGGAACTCCTGAGAGCGGTGAAACCTTTAATTGGATCTTCAATAGAAATAAAGTAAGGCAAAGTTTGCGTGTTACGCGCGCGCGAATATTGAAAACTCGTTGTTTTTATAATGGCCGTGTATCTTGTTGTGATCTGTGATTTCCGTGTACACCGCTTATCGTGAATTGGCTAACTCAGCTCGTCCGCGCTGGATTCCTTTAGGCGGTTGGGTTCAGGCAACTGTGAGCCTGCTATGTTCTAAGGTGGATTGTAATATATTCGGATATCATGGATAATCAATTTCTTTTAACGAGTTGAATTGGAATGTTTATTTATTATTTTTTTCGAATCTAAAATTTATGTGGACGTTAACTTTTAAATATTTATTCTTTAAATATATTTTAATGAATAACATATTTCACCATATATATATATATATATATATTATTGTGTCAATCTTTATATCTTCTTCGTAAGATTGATTTTTACGTATTAATTTATAGTTAAATTTTCAGAAAAACATATTCGAATATAAAATTTTAGGAGTCTTATTCCTCTCAAGAAAGCGTAGCCTTTTAACATTACATTTAATAGTGTTACATGATATCTCAATGTCAAAATCAATCGTCAACTAACTACATCTATTGGACTTGATAATCTACGAATAATCATTATGATCATACGCTCTACACCAATAGTAAGGGTCATTATAAAACCTCTCAATCAAGTAATACTAAGAGTGTGTTTGGTTCACGGAATGCAAGATTACCGATAGGAATAGGATTACCGGTGGGAATAAGATTAATGGGAATGTTGTATTTTGTGTTTGGTTCGTTTAGCAGGAATGTATGATTACAGTGTTTAGTTAAAAGAATAAAAGATTATTAGAATGTATATTTTATCAAATTATCCTTATTATATACTTGTTTTTTTAACAAGTTAAATTTTATTATAATTTTATTATAATTAATTTATATATTTTTAAAAAATCATAAAATTTATATAATTTTGTTTACAAAATTGAAAATATAAATATGTTTAATGAAATGGTGAAATTTTATTTTAACCCCTAAACTTCGTATAAAATTCTAATTATGGACTTTTTTTTAAAATCTAAAATAATTTAAGGATAAATTTGTAATTTAACATTCATAGAATTTTTTTTATTCAACGACATAATAAGGATATTTTTTAAGAAAAAAATTAAGGACATTTTAGTCCAAAACGTCGATAATGTAACAATACATAAGGGAAAGAGTAATCACATTCCCGGTAATATACCCTCAAAATACCACTGTTGGGAATAACTTATTACCAAGGGTTAAGAATGTTGGGAAATAAACGAGAACGAGTAATTTCCTTATAACCAGATTAGTGAGAATGCGAAATAAAAGCGGAAAAATATACCCGAAAAATTGATAACGGAGTTCAACCAATTGTGCCTACGTCTCCGGACTGCTGCAGATCTTTTACTAAGAGAGAAAATTTACAGGTGTTTACAAAACACTCACTTCTCACAAGAAAACTCTCTAATATTGGGAGGAAGAAATTATTTTTGGGATGATTTTGAAGCTAAATGGGTTAGGGTATTTATAGTTGAAGCTTAAGGACTAATCTTGTAAATACCCTAAAGTACAATGACTAAAATGCACTTATGTCATTTACCATTTTTTCAACAAAAATTAAATGCACCATTCGGTGCCTAACTTGCCACTTTCGGTGGCCACCCATTGTTGACTTTCCAACAATCTTCCACTTGAAGACTGATTTTAATCTTTCTTCACACCTCGATCAATGCAGCAACATTTCTAGTCTTGTTATTCTAGCATGCTAACTGAAGTTGAACACAACTTCAGTTTGTCTGTGGTCACCGTCTTTGTCAACATGTCTGCTGGATTTTGAGCTCCACTAATCTTTTCAAGCTTCAAAATCCCATCTTCCAGAAGAGGCCGGATAAAATGATATCTCAATTGTATATGCTTCGTCCTGGAATGAAAAGACTGATTATTTGCTAGATGAATAACACTTTGACTGTCGCAATACAAGACATTGTTTTCTTGTTTCTTGCCTAACTCTTCCAAGAAACTTTGGAGCCAAAACCATCTCCTTGCTGGCTTCTGTAACAGCGACATATTCTGTTTCAGTTGTGGAGAAAGCAACTATCTTCTGTAGTTGAGAAACCCAACTCACCGCGGTTCCTCCTAGAGTATAGTCATACCCTGTAGTGCTCCTTCTGATGTCAACATTTACGGCTAAGTCAGTATCTACATAGTCTGTCAGTATCGTATCTCCACCTTTGAAACAAAGTGCATTGTTTGTGGTACCCCGCAGATATCTGAGGATCCATTTGACTGCTTCCCAATGTACCTTGCCTGGATTATTCATGTACCTGCTAACAGCTCCCACTGCATGAGCAATATCTGGTCTGGTACAAACCATGTCATACATCAGACTTCCAATTATTGAGGCATACGACACATTCTCCATGTGTGCACGTTCTTCCTCCGTCTTTGGTGACTGTTCTTTGGAGAGTCTAAAATGAACACCTAAAGGTGTACTTACTGATTTAGCATCTTGCATGTTGAACCTGGAGAGTACTTTGTTGATGTTCTTGGCCTATGATAACATCAAAGTCCCCGACTTTGTGTCTCTCTTAATCCTCATCCCAAGAATCTGCTTCGTAGCGCCCGAATCCTTCATAGCAAATTGCTTAGACAATTTTTGCTTCAAGTTTATAATCTCTTGCATGTCTGAGCCTACAACGAGCATGTCATCAACGTACAACAATAAAATAATGAAGCTATTGTCGAACCTCTTGATGTAGCAACAATGATCTGCTTGGCATCTGGTAAAACCACTGCTACTTATGAAGCTATCGAACTTCTTGTACCATTGTCTAGGAGCTTGTTTTAAACCATATAAGCTCTTCTTCAACCTGCATACCCGGTTTTTCTTGCTTTCCTCTATGAAGCCTTCTGGCTGCCACATATAGATTTCTTCCTCCAAATCACCATGAAGGAAAGCAATCTTTACATCTAATAAGATGTAAATTTTCTGCAGCTACAATTTTCAACACCAGTCTGATTGTAGACAGTTTTACAACTGGAGAGAAAATTTTATTGTAGTCAATACCTTCCTTTTGCTGAAAACCTTTTACAACCAATCTTGCTTTGTAGCGTTTGCTCCCATCGTGCTTTTTCTTTGATCCTGTAAATCCACTTGTTGTGGAGCGCTTTCTTGCTTGGTGGTAATTCAGGTAATTCCCACGTCTGATTTGACATAAGCGAGTCCATCTCATCTTTCATGGAAGACTCCCACTTGACTGAATCCTCCACTTGCATTGCTTCATCATAGTACTCTAGTTCACCATTGTCAGTCAGCAACAAGTAGTGCAAAGAATGAGAATACCGTTGGGTTAGTTTAGGAATTCTGGAGGAACATCTCAGTCCTGGTGTGCCTGGTTCTTCTTGAACTGCTTCAGGATTGATCTGAACATCATTTCTAAAAATCTCATCGAACTCAACAAATTCCTTTGTTTCAGCTTCGGTATTGGAGCTACTTGATTCTACAGTTGATATATCTTTGTACATCACATTCTCATTGAAAATTACATCTCTGCTTTTAATGATCTTTCGATTTTCGTAGTCCCAAAATCGGTAACCAAACTCATCACCACCATAACCAACAAAGACGCATTTGTTGGACTTGGCATCAAGTTTACTTCTTTCAGCGTAATCAATGTGTACATAAGAAATACAACCAAACACTCTTAAGTGTGAAAGGTTTATTTCTTTTTTGCTCCAAACTTTCTCTGGTATTCTGCCATCTAAAGGAACTGAGGGCACACAGTTGATCAGGTAAGCTGCAGTGTTGATAGCTTCAGCCCATAGAAATTTGGGCAATCCGGCATGTATCCTCATGCTTCTAGCACGTTCATTCAGAGTTCTGTTCATGCTCTCTGCTACGCCATTCTGCTGCGGTGTCATTGGAACTGTTGTCTCCATCTTGATCCCATTATTTGCGCAGAAATCTCTGAATCTTCTATTTTTGTACTCTCTTCCATTATCAGACCTCAACCGCTTGACTTTTAAACCAGTCTCCATTTTCCACCATGACCTTCCATTTTCTGAAGGTATCAAAGACTTCTGATTTCTTCTTCAGAAAATAAACCCACACCTTCCTTGTAGAATCATCGATGAAGGTGACATAATATAATGAGCCTGCAAGAGATGGAACTGGAGATGGTCCACATATATTAGTAAGAACCAACTCTAACTTTTCAGCCTTGGGTGTCTTACCAATCTTTGCAAAGCTGACTTTCTTTTGTTTGCCAAAGATGCAATCCTCGCATAGTCCGACATCTACATTCTTTAGATCCGACATCTTCCCTTTTAACAAAAGTGTCTTCATCCCTTTCTCGCTCATATGACCAAGCTTTTTGTGCCATATGTTTGATTTTCCATCAGCATCTGCTGCAGCAATGATATTCTCTAAATTTGATGTTACATAGAGAGTACCAGTCTTCTTACCACGAGCAATGACGAGTGCTCATTTGGTAATATTCCATTCACAGCCTGAAAAGGTTGTGCTATATCCTTCTCCATCAAGCTGTCCTACAGAAATCAAATTTCTTTTGAGGCCAGGAATATGTCTCACTCCCTTCAGCGTCCAGGTGGTCTGGTTTTGCAACTTTAATTGGATGTCTCATTTTCCTATGATCTTTAAGGTTTCATCATCAGCTAAATGAACCCTTCCAAAATCACCATTGACATAGTTCTCCATGATTTCTTGGCATGGGGTGGAGTGGAAAGATGCCCCTGAATCCAAGATCCATGATTCAATTGGACTGTTGACGCTTATAATCATGGCATCACCTGTCTCCTCTGTCATGTTGGTAGAATCCTGTGCGCTGGTATCTTTCTTCAATGCTCGTCAATCTCTTTTAAAGTGACCCTTCTTGCCACAATTATAACAAGTACAATCTTTCTTTCCCGTTCTGGATTTTCCCCG